TTCACTTGATAACTTAAATGAAAAGAGAGAACTGACAGGGGAAACCTCAGGTGAAATCATTCAGCAGTACTGAGCAAATGCGGTGACAGCAGAGGAAAGCAAATTAACAAACCAATTTGCCTTGACTTGATATCAAGATGAAGATTGAAGGGAAAATAACTTTGATTTCAACATGGCAGATTTTGATTACTTTTTTAAGGAACATTTTTGTCAGTAATCACCTGAAATTGTTTTCACCTCAAATTATAAAGTGACATTGGCTTTTCCTCTTAGCTGTTTTTCAAGTATTCAGCAGCAAACAAACCTAATCACACCACACTAGACATCCTAATCCAAATGAATGCACTCCATCCTAAACTGTATTTTTAAAAAATCATCAATTTAATTTCATTACAGAATATGATTTGTGCCACATGCATCTCCTAACTCATTTCTCATATTATACCCGTTACCATTTTTCTCTTGATTTTTTGTTCTCATATATAGCATTAGCTTTTGACTGTCATCTCTGCAGGACATTAATGTAAATCCCTTGGTTCCAGAGCTGAGGCAGTTTGGAAGAAGGATACTGGCGAGTTTCATTGCCTGGTCAGCGCACTTCCTGCCTGTGGCAAATCATAGGCTGCCTCCAACACAGCAGGAGGCAGGCAAGAGAGCTCCACAGCAAATTGGAGAGTGGTGCGGGGGGTGTGGGAGGGCGGGTGAAGATGGGGGGAAGTGAGAAAAAGAGAACGAGAGAGAATTTAAGACTGATAGGAAAAGAAACAAGGATGTTATGGAGGTTGGAAAAGTGTACTGCAGGCAGCCAAGTCTGTCATGGACTTTAGGACATCTATAGCACACAGAGAATGTCTCTGACTTGTAGCAGCTCACGCACACACACACAATCACAATCCACAATGTTCTTATCCCTTAGGGTGAAACAAAATGCATGACCAGAAATGCACAGACACTTTCTAGATGCTACAGAGACAGAAAGTTGAGATACAAATGCAATAGCAATACATCACACCACTGGCTCTTGTAAAATCATGTAAAGTGTCATGTAAAGACAGATGCTGCAGGTAGCAATCCATCACAATTCAGTGCTAATAAGCACACAGAGGCACAATGCACAAGAGACCTTGGCTGACATTTATTTCAGCTTGTCTCACATTGAAATATGCCTGGTTTTTAGCTAATAAAAGTAGATTTGATATACAACAATACTAGCAAAAAGGAAAAAAAATCTCCAGTATTAAAAATTACATAGATTCAATTTCAAGCATGCCTTTAACAACAAACCAAGTGCCTAATTTAAAACACTACATGCCAACTTCATTGCAACACCTTATTCATTAAAGGACCAGTATTCAGCCCATATATCCATCAAAAACACTTGCTCTTGCTGAAACAGTCCAGTCCTTTGAGACTTACTTTGCATGTGTTTGTGTCGCTGCATTTTTTTAAATCCTGATTTGTCCTCCACTCCAGCTTTAATGGCAAGCCAATTTTAAATGACACCAGTTTAAAGAGTAATCAATATGTGTAAAGTCTTGGAGTCTTGGTGTAAAGTGCTGGAGTTCACGAGGGAAATCAGATGTCAATTTGGCCGTTGGATCCTGTAACTGCAACTGCTGTCAAAGAGTACAAAATCTCAGATTTTCCAACAGTGACTTTAAATTGATTAGCCTTTAATTCTCTGAGGTGTTAAATTTTCTTGCTTTAAGCAAATATTGAGCAAGATGTATTTGTGCCCGGCTTTTGGCTGACTTGTTTGTTATAGCATTTATTTGTGTACTTGTTAGTCGAAGCATGTAATGGCTAAATCTTATGCAAATGCTATAAATGGATTTCAGCCAAAGACAATTTTCAAATCCTCCACATTTAAAAAATATGGCATATGGGGACAATAAATGTGTGTAGACGATAAATCTGATTAATCCTTTACAGGCTGTGATAACCTGGACAATGTTAAGCCGACAGAGATCGGGTCTGTCCACTGTGATTATGCAGAATAAATATAGTGTAAATGTGATACGCAAAGGCTGGCGTGCTGGCAGTGTGTGTTTGTCAGGGTACATTAACCTGTGCCTGTTTGCTTAGCACTGCTGAAATAGGCACTGATGGCTGAACTACTTTCGTAGACACACACAGTCTTATACACTCTATCTCTCTCTGCGCTGGACTAAAAAAGCACCTTCACCAGGAGTGCTCAAGCAAATAAACAAATATTGAAAGAAGTGACCAGGAATTTCGTACTCAATAAACTGCCAAATATGTCACTGTAGAATTGACTAGTGCTTCAGAGCATTTTTCAAACAAGCAGAATGCATAAAATTATCATTTACAGATGGAAAGACTGGAGAAAGAACAAGGAAAGAATAGACTGACTACAGTAACATTATATAAGAGGCCTGTCATTATGATTTAGTTCTGCAAACATTTGTTATTTTAAGATGTCATAAATTGTCATTGATGGTGCAGCATATTAAAGCACTAACTTCGAGTTTTTTACTCTGCAGTAAACACACTAAATAAGAGGGCCACATGATTTATGAAGCATGGAGCAGGGCTGAATGCAACCTTTCACTTCATTGAAGCTTGACTTCTGCTCTCTTCTTTTTTAGTTGCCCTGGGTGTTATCTGAACCGTTTGATATAAGGTAAAAGGCTATGACACTCTCTTTCTGCCTGAATATGTGATACATGAGAGAGACAATATCTTCTAAATAAGCAACTGACATGGGTGACCTTTCATTTAGTTTTTTATCTCTCGCTTTGTTTTTTTCCCTCACTCTCTTCCCTTTTTCAGCCCCCAACCAGGCAATGTGTGTGCTCTTCCCTAATCAGGGGATGATGCGGCCATGTGTTTTCTCTGCAATCAAGGGTCTATGTTCACAATGTGACCTCTATTTTCAACGTGCCACAAAAACTGTAAAATCATAACATGAACTGGCTGAGAATTTGTTGGGCTTCAACGCGTCATTGTCTTATTCTCAACATGTCAAAAGAGTGTGAATCTATGGATCCAGAGAATGTGAATGTAAGAATCAACTACACACTGTTTCTGTATCATGATCGAGATAATCAGAGCACAAATCAAAATGGCAGGCCTCTACTGAGTACCTTTTCGGTCACAACAAATCCTGATGTTGTGCTTCTTTCGTTCCGCCATGTTGTATCACAGTGAGTTCTAGCTTTTCATACCATGCAAAAGCCTTTTGGGATAAAATATGGATATGTGGAATTATATGTGGAAACTGAGGTTTCGATCATAATATGTATTTTATGAGACAGATTAAGGAGTTGTCGGCGTTACAAAAAAACTGAAACGGAATCGGTTTGAATAAATCAATGCTAATGAAAAAAGCTTTGAAAATCAATTTTAGTCATACCTTACTTGGTAACTGTTCAATAATCTGTATCTGAGTCTATAATGAGTGTCCATATAAGCTTTGTTGAACTGATTTGATGATGTTTTGTCTTGTAAATCGCTTTGTGCCACCAGTGCCCTTGATGACAAATGAGCTCAATTAGTGATATGCTCATCTCCATGTATAAGTAATCTGAGACAATAATGTAACTGCGACCGCGTTTAATTGGACTCGCAAATGAACGGTTCAGTCACTCGTATGGACTGGCCTCTTTAAGGAGCCTAAAAACCAAGGATCAGATTAACTAGACCAGTGCAATCTGGTTTTGAAGATAATTTCTCAATTCTCTGTGTCTCGTACACAAATGGAACATTAAAACGATGGTTGTAATGCTTGTGTCTTGTAATTGTAATTGAGATCTCGTTATCATGTTTCATCGATGATTCTAAAGGCTCTTAAGCCTCCGCGAGTCCAGCATCAGGTCAGCGAGGTGAAACTGCGCGATAGGAATAACGGATTTAAATAAATACGATAACCTACTGTGGAAGTAACAAGTATTAAAATCGCCATAGTCTAACATTTCTGGTCATCCAAATTTGAATAAGATTTTTCTTTAATGTGCTAATTACACCTATACAATGACTTTAAACAGATGGTTATTTAAAGGAAATATTTTTATATTTTATGCATATGTAAAATTACCCAAAAGGGAATTTATGAAGCTCAGTCTGTGGAAACTGCCTCGCGAGTTCGTAACTTGGTGTTTAGCTAACTGTGCTAGTGGCACCAATCAGAGAGAAAAACACAACAAATCCAAACATTTTTAAACACAACACCAAATGTTTTGTGACGTATTTGTAATATATATCTTAAAGAAAGTTAAAAATTAAAATTAAAAATTAAAAATGATACATAATATGAGTGATTTAGTTAGCCTATCGACTTACCGCCCGAAACTGAGCGCAATAGGCTATCGAACGCAGGTTTTGTTCACTACAGTTGGCAAAATATGTGCTCTGACTAACTTGTCCCATGTCGAACTTCGTATCATTAGGCTACTAAAAACTCTATTGAGACCGTTTTTGTATGGAAAAAAAAAAAGGCTAACTTAAGACCACCCCAAACTTTTGACTTCCTTTGGGGGAGTTCAAGCCCTATGGTACCCCCATAATCCGGACCATGGTTTTATGCACTGAAGATAGATGGTTAACTACCTGTTTGTGCTCGATTACATTTGCAAACATTTGCATGGCATGTCAAGTACAGAAAGAGGCTGTGGGGCGTAGGACAGCTCCTCAGTCCACTCCGAAACTATCCTATTCACGTTTTCCAATATAATGCTAATCCCAAGGTTGCAAAATGCTGTAAATTTGTGTCTGGCTATTTCCTGTACAGCTGGGCGGAATTCAATGCCATTAAAGTGTATGAGGACGCTGAGTATTTCAACTTGCAAATTACAGCTGCAAACGGGTCAATAAAATACTCTCTAGCCTACTTGAAAGGCTGTACATTTATTTATTTAAAAAAACAGTGGTATCTCTGTATAATTCCCCAACATACACGTTAACCGACTGCTATTACTAACAAGTTATGACAACATTAACCAAAAGTAACCTGACTCTATGTGTCTCATATAATTTCTTACCTCGTAAAATTCGGCTTAGATCCCCATTGTAGTGGAACGAGATGAATAAAAACTTTACAGTAGGTATCCAAACTTATTAAAAGCAGCAGCTGTAAGGTGAGGTAAAATAACGGTTAGGACGATAAATTTCCCGTAGTCACGCCTTCCCGCGTCTCCCACACACTGTGCTCTCGAGCGCAGGGAAATTCCTCCGCAAGCGACCAGCCACACACACTGTCTAAATTACGAGACAACGACCTGGACCCGGCGAACCCAGAGGCACAAAGTCCAGAAGCATTAGTTCTAGCTGTGTCAGAAACACATGTGATGGAGCCAAGGACTGTACCACTCCTCTGGTCTCCCTGTGTGTGCGCGCGCTGCGGTGCTGATGAGAGGACGGGTCGTTTGCGCGGGATCCGCGCGATACTAGTGAGACAGTGTCATTAACAGCACGAGGACCCAGAGCATCGCGGAATGCGACAAGAACTGAACAAACCTTGTTTTCTTTTTCATTCTTATTTATATTTAAGTGTGCATTTTCCACAAGAACCTTAATCTTCATAAATGGATGGAAACTTACTGGTATCACAGACTTCTAATGACAATTACGTACTTGTTTTATTAACCCTCATATTCTGTTTTGGGATTTATTGGTTTATGCTTGTAAATATAATAATATTAACCCTATTTTACATTTTATGTTATGTTCCTCTGCCTTATCACAAACGTATAGGCCAGAGAGAAAAACACAATCAGTCCTCGTTGCTATTTCAGTAGCCTAACCTTGTTGCAACAAAAACATATTGTAGAAAAATAAAATAAAAAATAAATAAATAAGTGCCTGTTTACAGTGCATACACAAAGAATCTTATGTGAAAACTCACCGCATTCATATTTTATATGGTTCTATGAAACCCCAGACATAAGTAAGGAAACATTTTTCATGGAGGCCAATTGCGGCAAGTTGAAGTTTCTTTATTACCAGTTCTTACGGGAAAACATTATGTGGTCTGATGCTTGAATGATAAGTATATTTTTCAAGCTATAGCAAAATGGCCTTGGGCGTCTGTCAGAACCCAAACTGATCATGAGGGTTAAAGTACTTCCCATTAAGACCCAACATACATTCAACAATCTACTAAAAACCCACTGTTTTGAGATGGAGAGTGTGATATTGCATGTGAGATGGAGATTGTGATATTGCATGTGATTTGGTCATAACTAAAACAATCATCATGAATTTGCACTTGCCTAATGGCAATTGACTGGATTCTCTTCAAATAAAAGCTAATTTTGCTTTAGTTGATCAGTTAGTTAGCAGTACAGATGGTGAGGTTTCTATGTGGTATCGTCTCCGCAAAGACTGGCATTTTTCATGTAGTTGTCCCTGCTTAGAGGACATTAGAGGGCCTTTTGGCTTTCATCAAAGAGCTGATGTGAAAAGCACATGGCATATGAATCACACTTTGACGGCTGTGAAATGACAGCTCTCACAGAAGCTGTGTGTGAAGAATGAAGATCATTAATTACAAAAGCCCCAGCTACTTAATCCCACTCGAAAGAGAGCTTGAGGCGTCTGTCTTTCCCTTTGCCCTCCTCTGTTTTTCGCTTTCCGATATCTCTTGTTTTCCCTTCGGTCGCCCCCATTTCTCCTCCCCCACACCCGTCTAGCCATCTTTTTCTCAGATTCATTCTTCTTTCTCCTCATATTCTTTTCAGCTCTTTTCTTTTCCATTACAAACTGCACTTTTATCTCCTCATTCTTTCTCTGAATTACTCTTTTATCTTCACTCGCCCTTTGCATGTCATGGAGTCCAGCGAGAACAGAATCGAGAGTTCGAGTCCAGAGGTTTTGGACTCAGCAGGGGGAGCGGTAGTGCTCTCCTCACCCTCCTCCTGTGTCCCAGCCTCAGACCTCATGCTGAGATGGAGTTATCTCTCAAGGCAAGCTGTTCCACTCACCAGAGCTTTGTATCCAAGTCTCCACGCCAAACATCAAACTCTCTCCCAACAGGAAGTGCCATTATCTGCATGAAAGCCAGCTTGATCAGTTCTCTACCTTATACTGCAACTGAAGGACAACAACAAAAAAGTGATACGCTTCTATCTGCAGAGGAGCCGAGCTGGTCCAAAATTGATCAGTTTACTCATTATGTAAGTATGTCATTCTTCACACCATGTCAATGAAACTTTTTTGCTCAAAGATTTTATTAAGAATTATATACTCGTAATTTTGAAATATACCTTGTTGAAGGGCTTTTCATGTGATTGTAATGTTGATCATATAAAACAATATACTAATATTTGGAATTGACTGAAATTTGACTACTTAAAATACGCTTTGCTTCTTACTGGCAGTAAACATGTCACAATAAACATATTTGTCACCAATTCAGATTTCAAACCTACAGCTTTTCATATTAAACTTTATAACAAGCATTGTAAACAGTGGTTGCTCCCGTCAAACTCTAATTCTTCAACAGACCTTCTGCAAACATTGCTCTGAATACGGTCTGCCCAAATCCTCGAAACACAATTTCTGGGACAGTACTAAATGTCTCTTTTTCCAGCTAATCCATCACTTTACCACTGCTGGACTCATTTGTACCCTCTAGTGGGGATGAGTAACAGTGTCATTTCTCATATTAGATGAGGGCACATCTGTCTGTTTGAAAACAAACGATTTGGACATGGAATCTGAGGGTGGTACATGCACATACAGTATTCAAACAAAATATCATTTCCATTGATTGCAATATAAGGGTTATCCTCTAGACATACAGTAGCTGTTCCTTGATATAGCTGAGAAAAATGCTAGATGCTTGTGGGCCTCTGATACGAATGTTTAGACAGGGAAATCAGTGAGGATATACATAATAATCTCTCTTTTTCTGTCGTAACAAAGGTGGTGTACAAGATACAGAGATGAAGTTTACTGAATGACTATTCACTGATCCAAATACTAAAATTGCCCACCTTTATAAGCATTCAATCAAAATATATGCATCATTACATTCGGCTCTGAATAGTAGTGTTATCAGCATCCTGCCTGGATCCATGTGAATGGATGGCCACCAGTCAACTTAACTGAACTTGACAATGAATCTTACTATGTATGTCACCTTCTATTTCAATGTACAACAGTATCTGAGGTGGTAAACAGCAAAACGATTTTAAGGGCAAAGAGTTACGGTCCATGAGGGAAAATGAGGAGCTGCACTCTGTTCGGGTTACTCTCAGAGGAGGAATATACCAAATTTAACTGCTAAAAGAGAAGAGCTGATTTTACTCTTACTTTTGTATTCGCTGTTGCTGTGGTTGTATTTCAAACCTAATCAGATCACATTAGACCAGATCCAAATTTAGCATCTGCAATTTATGTTGGGTTTTTTTCATGATTTTAAAAGAAGTCTTTTATACTCACCAAGGCTCTATTTATTTGATCCTAACAGTAAAAAAAGAGTAATATTGTGAAATATTGTTACCATGCAAAATAGATGTTTTAATAAATTTTAAAATGTAATTTATTCCTGTGATGGCAAATTTTTAGCAGCCATTACTGCAGTCGCAGTGTCACATGATTCTTCAGAAATCATTCTAATATTCTGCTTTGCTGCTCAAGAAACATTTCTTAGTATTATTAATGTTGAAAACAGGTTTGTTGATTAATATCTTTGTGGAAACTTTTTTTCCAGGTTATTTAATAAATATAAAGTTTAAAAGAACAGAATTTATTTGAAATAGAAACTTTTGTAACATTATAAATGTCATTAGTCACCCAGGTGAAAAAAGTACACTTCTATAATGTACTTAAAGTGCTCTATTTTCACATACTAATTTTATACTTAATATACTAAAAAGTATTCTTTAGTTCTTCTTAAGATAATCTTAAGAACATCTAAGTGTACTCAACTGTGTTATTTTGAGACACCATGAATATGAACTAAAATGAGCTTTTAACATACTATCTCTGTATTTAAACATGTATTTAGTTACCACTTGTGGTACACTTGAACCCATCTTTCATACACTTTCATACATGGTATTTTTTACTTTTTTAACACAGAGAGAGTATGTTAAAAGCACATTTTAGTTCATATTCATGGTGGGGTTTTTTTTCACCTGGGCACTTTTGATCAATTTAATGTGTCTTTGCAGAATAAAAGTATTAGTTTCTTTAAAAAAAAAAAACAAGCAAACAACATTTCACTGATCCCAAACTTTTGAGAGTAGAACAAGCAGTTTGGTGAATGCATGGATTGATGGGCATAAAGTTGTATACATGTATACAGTATGTACTTCCCCTGTTTGTTAATGTAGTTTTGATAATTTTTTTTACATCAAACAACAACAGTTCTGCCACTACCTTTATAGTATTTGAACATTCACTTCACAACCATAAAGTGTGACAAAAGCCTTTGTTTGATAAGCAAAATGGTATTTAAAGATCACAAAAGTATGGGAGAAAAACTATTTGAATAGGTGACACACAGTCATACACAGTGGCACATCAGTGAACAATTTACGTGTTTGAAAATACTGATGAATTTTAAAGTGACCTTGAAGTGGCATTTCACAGAATCAGTTTCCTAATTAAGTCTGATGTCTCTAGATGACTTCCAAAGACTCACCATGGTACAGAGTAACCTTCCAAATAGTGTGGTTAACAAGAGGAATTGCTTCATCTGAGGTGACAGTGTTTCCAAAAACTTGGCCATTGATGAGCTACATACTGTTGAGGCTTATTCTGTTCACTGTGAAACTGTATATTCTAATTAGATGAAGCTGCAAGTCTATTAAACGTCCAAGTTTGGATCATTCGAAGAATTATCCCCAAACCTACGGATTTAAGACTGCTAAAAAGAGAAAAGTCACCTATGTCAAAACTTTGTAATGTGCAACCACCTACCATCATTCAACCAGGACACTCGTAAGAAAAGCTTGCAGGAATAAAAGCAGAGAATGCTTGTGTCTATGCCACGATCTCCAAGCATGAATCTGAAAGCCATGGAGATGTATGACCAGTCAATAGTGATCTCCATAATCGTTAGTCCTCTGGTGATTCATCAAGCCAATGACACTCGTGTCCCTAATACCACATTTATGCTGGTTTGAGCAGAGGAGATTGCGTGCTGTGATTTTCTCCAAAATGATTGATTATATCCAGCCTCTTTTGCCCAGTGTGTGTATGTGTGCGTAGATGAGTAACTGAACGAATGAGCGGGTAAGTGAGTGAGTGAGTGAATGAATAAGAGATCAAGTGTGTGAAAGAGCAAGAAAAACTGAGATGCAAACCAGACAGAAATGATTTTGAGAGTAAGTGTGAGTGAATA